GTTAGCAGAAATCACCGATTGAACGAGAATCGCTAAATAACAGGTAAAATTAAAATAATTTTTTAATCGCCGGCAATTATATACTACGCGCGTTAACTGCTGCGTTAAATTTGACATCCGCTGTCATGAATTCGCAATATTGTGATAAATTCAATAATCGATTCGCCTTCGCATGTTCCGATAGTCAGCGATTAATTACGTATAAAACTTGTCCCATAGTACATCAGGGACCACTCGTCGAAATATCCCGCCCTAAATCAAATTTCTGCATAATATTCGCAAAAATACACGGCCAACTGATAATCTGTCGACGCTGAAAGAGGATTGCGAGAGCATCAATTATCTACTGCGCAATGTTCGGTAGCTGCCAGAAAACACACGAAACGATATTAAGCCATTAATCCGCTGCGTTTCATTTCTGATGTGATATCAGGGCGGAAATGCAAACAGAGTACAAAAGAGCAGTGATTCGTGTGGTTTTTTAATGACTTAAGCCGATTACATTTGCAGAACGTGAATTTCGAACTTCCTGTAACATTCAAAAAATCGTCTCGAAAGCGGATCTTCCGGCTATACAACCGGTCGTTTATACCAGACCGCGGGAGCAATCACACACTCCATTAGGCAAAAATTCGCATAAAATTCAGCGGACCATCGCGGACACGGTACGAGGGCGTCCAATTTACGCGAAGACAAATGTCACGACATTTTCCACGGTAATGAAAGTGGAAGAAGCTTGGCACGACCGTTTTGTTTTCTTGCACGGCCGTATAAGGGCACATAAACAAAGAAGGAGAAAACTGTAACATTCGAGAGAGGGATGAAGCAGCGAAGAAACGAAAAGCAAACGAGAGAGAGAGAGAGAGAGAGAGAGAGAGAGAGAGAGAGAAGGAGAGGCAAAGAGAGAACGGGAGAGAATGAGAGAAAGAGGTAGAGGAAGAGGGGCAGAAATAGACCGAGGAAGAGAGAGAGAAAGAGAGAGAGAGAGAGAGAGAGAGAAAGAGAAAGAGAGGACGAGCGTGGAGAAAGCGAGGCATCGTGAGGAAGAGAGAGCATGAGGGAGGAATTTCCTCGCCGCCCCCAGAATTCAATCACACCGTGTTTACAGCTCAGTACACTTAATCCTCTTTATTGGATCCAAAGCGTTTGCCGGTGCGGCGTATCTCAGAATTTGATCAATTTTATGGGCAAAGGATTTGGATGATACTTGCGGACCAGCCATCTGTCTATTTCGGTTCTCAGTGAAATGATGCCGCTTCTCAAGACGATCTCGTTAATGATCTCGTGACGCGCTTGTTATCCGTGCAATTCTAATCCCGATATATATTCGAACGGTGAACGCGAATTCACTCGCGACGCTTACAGCGAATAACCGCACGGGTATTATTTATCCCAAGGATATTTCTAATTAGATTATTTCTAATTAGAACGATATTACGGTTGGATGGATGCACGCGCGCTTTATGGCGAACTTGAAAATTTATGCGCCGACCGAAGATTAATCGGAGAAATAATTCGTCGCTCCTCATACTGATTCGACGAAAAATGGATTATTACTTCTGCTTTCCATTTATAACCCAACAAGTTTCATCTCAGCCATTTTACGTCTGCTTATTGCGTTATACCTGTGGCAGTGGTCCTTCAATAATGACTTCTAACTACCGCAGATAGACGCTAAATTTAAATGCGCACGACTACTTCTCTGCGCTTTTTCAGCTTTCCCCTCTTTGCCGACGCATTAACTCGCGCGGAACGTTTGTGCAAACGGTTGAGAATTTGACGACTGCCAGACGTTTCCACACTGAGAACTTGCAAAATTACAGCTAGCCGGTTGTCCGGAAAAGTAACGAGCCAAAGTGCGATAACAAAGCTCCATCCCGAAAGCGCACAGACGCATTTTCAAAACGCCGCCACGCACAAAGCCCATCCTCATTTGTAAGCCCACCGCATAATGATACGTTTTTATCTCCTTCCTTACGTGTGAGCATGTGCACGCCCTCTTTTCTTTTTTCTACCTCCCTCTCCCTCCCTCCTCCCCCCTCTCTCTCTCTCTCTCTCTCTCTCTCTCTCTCTCTATCTCCATCTATTTATCTATTTTTCCCTCTCTCAGCGAGGCGGGTAAAAGATAGTAATAATTAGTGGAACATGAATCGCTAAATTCCGCATCGTGGATCGATAAAATGCTCGCGACAGTACATGCGACGAGTGATTTACATACCGGCGCGACGAAAATATCCTGCAACGTGGTGTACATCGACGTATTCTGAGGCTCCCGGGCATAAATAACCCCCCTGAAAAACGGTCAGAAACGATGCGTCGTATCTCACGTTTGAAAAGTGTGTAGGGGTATGGCACACGCGATAAATTATACTTCATAATGTTAACCGAGCGAATACTCCATGCGCACACTCCATCCCCGCCCTTTATTAATGCAGAGAGCTCGAGTGTATTGGAATATTCGCGCGATTGCCTCGCGGACTTGTCTTGCGCATCGACGAAAGCTCGGGACATCTTTAAAGCGTTCCACTAGCTTTGAAGTAATAATGCGGGAGGATCTGACAGAATGGTCGTCGCGACTGTGCTGTTAAAGGCGAAACTCCTATTCTCCGATACGACGATCCTCTCAGATACTGGATCCGTTTCTTACGGTGATCCATCATGTGTAACAAGAATACTGCTCGGACGACGTTTGGATCTCCGTAAACCCGAGCGCTTTAAGTTGTCGCGATGAATATCGCGCGGATTCTCTGACGGACACGTGGTAACGCGAAACAAGAGATGTGTAGCCTAACGTAGCTGTTTGAACGCAGCCGTTTGTTCGTTTGTCAAATTGTTTTGTCGCCGCCGCGATCACCAGACGCTGCCAAATGATATCACCGATGGCGAGATCCCATTATTCGCAACAGTTACGTAGGACTAACCTCGATCGACCTACTTACGAATATCGAGCAAAACAATCGCCACCGAACCACCTGTTACACGCGCTAACTTTTTTATAATTTCATAAAGAGGCAACTCAATTTACACACTTATTTAGCATTTTACGTGCTTTATTAGCGCGATAATATTACGAGCGAACTTCAAACTACCCGTCTACTAAAAAATCACTCGCGCAACTTCTCTCACTCCGGGTTAACGCATGCGGTTAACGGCGAGCCGATTTTGCGAGCCGCTACTTAAAATTAATTAGCTTGGGTTAGCATAGGTTGCAGTTTTTGTGTACGAAATGCGCTTCGGACAATGTTCAGATTTGTAAAAGCATCAATCGACTAGGGAAATCATAAAGTTCCTCCCTGTAAGCGGTTATTTTACGCGATCGTACATTTTTATCGTAGAATACATATTTTAGTTCCTTGCGAAAGTGGAGGTTGCTTTACTCCGATCCGTCGGGCGACATAATTACCGTAATCCACAGAGAACTCTCACGGAATTAAAATGTAAACGGAGTTATAAAAATAGCGATAAATTTAACTAGATACAACTACTGGAAGGCAGTTAAGAAATGAGAGTCTCTGCAATATCACATTCTTTGTTCAGTCCATGAGCCACCGGCTTGCGTACATAATTTCACGAATATGAAACAATTTCGATCTCTCGCTCGGAAGTTCCGCTGGAACTGTCAAGTGCGGCATAAAACGGAATCGGGCGATAAACGCGCCTCTACCGCGAGGGAAAATACGCGTCGCCGAGGCGCGTCTGGAATTGCACGGCGACGCATATCGGCATCTGAAAACTTCCTCAATAAAGCAAGAGAAAAGAAGATATTCAGCATCCGCATGTTACATAAACTGAGCGATGCACTCTCGAAATTTTACAACCCGCTAAAACGATGTCACCGTCGTTACTCCGTCCTGTCTATAAATCGATTCTTTATGCGGCAATCTAAACTCGCTGCTTCGCGTTTTCCTTTATCGTCGTACGTTTCGCTCCGGCGTTGCGTTACACGCGAAATTTCCACTCGCGATACTTGATGTTGCGCGCGTTTGTTTAAAATAGCGCAGCGCGATTTTAGGTTCGACAATGGCCGCATCGCGCGCCCGTTCAACTACGATTTTCACACGCGCGCGAATATTCTACACGAGGGTGAGAGTACGTCACGTACCATTTGCGACACTATGGAACACGTAACCGCAGATAGCAGTTTTGCTCATAATTTACAGATAAAGCATAAAATCAAATCGCCACAAATCTCCGCGCTCTCGTAAACGTCATGAACAGTCGAAGAGTGACGAGAAAAAAAAAAAAGAAACAATACAAGCGTGCAACGAGGGCAATGAAATGAATTATTCGTCGCACGACTTGCCGCGAAACAAATCGTAACGCGTTACGTAAAACCATAACGTAAACCGAACATCGAAATTCGTGAAATTTCTGTCACGCCAAGCTTCGTAATTAGATCCGTCAATTAACGTGCAAAAACCGATCGTAATTCGCGCGTTATTCGCAATTTCTGAATTCACTGATTCATCAACGAAGATGCCTACGTACGGGATAAACACACACGCTTCGACCACTGACCATCGGAATAGTTTGCTCTCGCGTCACATAAAAAAGAAACATCGCATTATTGATGTTTCATTCGGTTCAAGAGAAGACGACTTTGAACGATGTCCTGGTACATTTCTACACGCTCGTTTCTTTCCTTTTACCATATATACCTTTTTTTTTATATATTTCAATTTCTCACATAATTCGCTCTCTTTTTGAAAACATCATATCGATTTTCAACGAATGCTCGAGGACAGGTACTACACTTTCACAGATGCCGCGCGATCTCTTGGAAAGCTCTCGCGAACAGCCGTTCCGCCAGCCAGCCAGCCAGCCAGCCAGCTAAGCGATAGGTGCCTAATGAGCGACGTAATTAATAGTTCCGATGCACTACAGGTGTCATCGTTTACGCGGCTCCCCGGTACGCGCGACGACATCCGGCCGAGGAGATACTCCTGGGAGCGGGATCGCGTGAAATAATGCAACCACGCATAACCAACGTGTCTACTCACCGACAAGCTCCGTACGCACGCCAACCAGCAGAGTGGTCACTACCAGAAGAGGCACCTGTCGTCGGCGCGGGCACACAGCACGTTTCTCACCCATGATCGTCGTCGCGCGTCAAGGTAGTCGCACGCGTATAGCGCGACGAAGGTAGCGCTGCCGCGTCGAGACTGAAGTCCTGACCTGCCGCGAAGCTACGTATATCCGACGCGCACGAGGCGAAGAACCCCCTCTCTATCGCGCGGCACCCGTCGCGCGCCAGCGAGACCGAAGGGGTTGCTCGGCCAGCGGAGAGAGCGCGCCGTTCACCCCCACCGACCGGTTCATCCCTCTTCACGTGCCGCGACGCGGACGCGAAGAGGATCCCCCCTTCGAGTCTTGCGTCGGGGGGCACCACCGAATCGCGCCGACGCTCCCTTGACCGGCCGGCTAGCTGGCTGGCTGGCTAGCTGGCTGGCTGGCTAGCTGGCTGGCTGGCTGGCTGGCTAGCTAGCTAGCTAGCTGGCTGGCTGGCCGTGCGCGTGGCAAAGCTTTGCTTTGAGTTACGCTGACACACCTGGATTTACTTAGAGCCCGGTGATTATGACGGGACGACGAGAACTGCGCTAAGCCCTCCTGTCTCTCTCTCTCTCTCTCTCTCTCTCTTTCTCTTTCTTTGCCCCCCCCCGTCTCTCTCTCTCTCTCTCTCTCATTCTCTCTCTCTTCCTCTCGCTCTCTAGAAGTCGGACTTATTTCACGCGTCGCTACAGGTGCGCGAGTTGTTTTCCCTTCCGTCCGAGACGCTAAAACCCAAACGCGAGCAAGTGGAAAAAGTAACGCGCTGGTCTGGCGCACGAAGCAGTAATCCTCTCTCTCTCTCTCTCTCTCTCTTTTTCTCGGTATATCTCTCGAGTATCGTCCCGTCAATACCGAGGAAAAATGATAGATGTCGGAACAAATGAAAATGTTGAGGCTGACTTGTTAATCTGATTTACAACACCCACCGTCCAAAGATACCTTCAGTACGAGCGCACCGAGCCAGATTTATAATTCGAATTAAATTATATTTACTTTGTCGAAGGGAGAGGAAGAAAGAGATGTGAAACGAGAAGCGAGGGAGAGCGGGAGAGCGCAGCCTGAGTACGTTGAGAGAGGCACGAGTGTAGAATATTTGCGTAACGCGATGCAGCGTGAAATGATTTAAATTCTACGCTGACACACTACATCTCTCTCTCTCTCTCTCTCCTCTCTCGACGCCAGCGTAAGAACGGAATCGATGCCACTCCACGCGATGAAACATTCAAATCTGAAAAGAGTTCCCTCTGCGACGCGCCGCGAGCACAAACAAAAAGATCTCTCCTACCCGTAGGACGACGCGTAAGTAGGCAACTAGTATGGGAAGAAAGGGGAAGTTTGCTTTCAAGTTACATTGTATTTGCCTAATGCAGATCGGTCGCGCTGCGAAAGGCAAATTAAGCTATCGTGTTTCTCGCGCACGATCAAATACCGACATCGTTCGACGCGTTAAGAGATTAAGCGAAAGGTATTCGCGCGTTTCTCTCTCTCTCTCTTTTTTTTATGGTCAATTAATTTCGATCTTTATTTATCGAGTGCGACGAGCATGTTGAATGTACGATGGTCTCGCAGAACTCGATCGTTTTTTAACTGAATGCGAGCTATGAATAAAACCAAAAATATCGATTCTCACCACCCTGTGCGTGTTATTTTTAATCTGTAAAGGTGTCATCTTCGAATAGAGTGGCTGGAAAATAGTCGCGTCTACTTTCACGATATAAGATCACGTAAACATTTTATTGCGTCAATAAATCGGGTCAGTCATTGTTAAAAACGAACGTCAACATTACTTACAAGCATTTGTATGTACGTCTCTCAAACGTGACGAACTGAGAGAAAAAAAAAAGAGGCGTCAAAAATATTCGCGAATGAAAGCGAAACGAATGATCATGCGCTTCATGTGCGTCTCGAGCACGAACAGATAACAATTCTGACGACATCCTATGTAACGAATGAGTCTGTATTTGATAGATTCCGTTCAAGTTACTCTCCTAACAATGTGCCATCAAAGGAAATCTCGTCAATCGTCGCATGCGTCGCAGACACCTCACCTACACACACATGCATACACGAACTCCAGTTCGATTGCGGAAACTGTAAATTCTCGCTCGACGAATCGGCCCGCGACGACGAAACGCAATACGTTCGACGATTGTTTCAATTACTCGCGAAGAAGGAAAATCGCGACTCCGCGTTGTCCCGGTTGCTCGCGATCGGCCGCTATAGGATGCCGGTGTATCAAATCAAAAGTTAGTTTTCTTTGCATCAGACGCTTGTATATTTTACTTAAATTGGCTGACGTGGAAACCCCCGATGGTAACTACGGGAACTATTTCAAGCGCATCCGATAAAGGAATCCGACGAATAATTGGAAAAACCGGCGGGCGAAACTTTAGACTATCGATTCGCGTACACAGATTGGAGGGCCGACGGTATATAAAAGGATCGACCGGCCCTGCCGCCGTGTGCGCACTCAAAAGTAGACTATCTCGAAACTTTATTTCGCCGTATCGCTATCGGCACGGAGCGCCGCGGGGATCTAGGAACCCGAAGACGTCGTATTACGTAATTCTATCGGAGGCGTATCCACGCGGTGTGGTAGTAACGTCGGCTTGATGTACGATCCAACGAAATGTGCATGAAGGACACTGTATCACAGGGTCCGATGATATATCCCCTTCAACACAACCTCGGCACTCAGCCGGCAAGCATACTGAGCGCCGCACGGCTCACCTCGACTACACGACTAGCTCCTCGGCCTGACTGCTACACAACCACTGTCGCTCGATTACACACATCGTTGATCTGCCTGGAGGCTCCTCAAGTTGGCCGCTGTTACACATCGCGTTCTGATACCCTTCCTCCCCCCCCTCCCCCCTCTTTCTCCCTCTCGCCCTCTCCTACCCATGCCTGAACAAGTCTGACGTCTGACTATTCCACGCATGATATCCAGCGTGCATAAAATGCCGTTATGTAAATTCCGCGGACGGACGCGCCGCGGAAGTTGCGAAACGTATTCTCACATGTACAATGTCCGAGAACGAGGACGCGGCCGTAGGTACAAGCGTATAATGTGGCTATTCGCGGACATGTGTCCTAAGACTTGTAACAATCATATTTACATTCATCTAATTCGCGCGCGCGCGTTCATTCGGTTTGTAAATCGTGATTTCGAAAATTTAACGCGAATTACCATCGGATAGGACTGCGAAAACGCAGTCACGTTTCGTGTCGGATCACTACGAATCAAGAGATGATAAGAACCGACTTCATTAGGGACACCCCGCGAAATGATCATTCGTTTAAACCAATTAACACCCTCGACGCAAAGTAAGGAAATATCGTTGAACCGATTTCCGCAGTTTTAGCAATTTCCATGCAAACGTTCGCGGGACGATAATCGATGGCTCAATTCTGTCTCTATCTTCCATCAGGCCGAAGACAATGGCTGTCCGTTTTTCCGACAAATTTTTCCCGCTACTCTCTCGTGTCGTCCCGCGCTACGGCGAGCAGTGTGATCGCCGCCCACGCGCGCGCGGTAAAAATTTATCGTGGAAAATTGAAGTGCCACGGAATAATTGCTCGATCAGGAGCGATCGAGATTCCAGATAGCAAGCCCAAACGATCGGACCACACGATAGAGCCCGACCAGATTACTGCGTGCCGTTCTAAGTTCCAAACCGAAGTACGAGGACTCTCACAAAGGTGTAACCGTTTCTGTCGATTTTTCGTCCAACTTTTAATTGTAGCCTTCGAGACCTCTATCTTCGCTTGATAATTTAATATCAAATTATCCAACGCATATTTCAAAAGACTCGGTGGCGTTTCATATTAAATGCAAGCACGATGAGACTAAATGTATGTATATTGACCTGATTAGTTGTGCACGAGACAATATGTACACATATTTTTAATATCCAGATAATACACATACGTGGAATTGAGTAATAAAACAATGTAATAATAATTTAATGCATCAGACATCTCGCTTTTAGATAATGGGAAAATATCGTCTGGATCGATATAGTTTTCTACACATATTCATGTACGTATATTGTTATATCGGGCAATGTGTGAAAAAAATATAATTAAATCGCGTTGATTTGCTCGAGATATTATAAACACCCATCACCATAAAAATGTTTTTTCTTCTCTGACTCACCGATACACAGCAGACAGAGTTAGCCGCGTTCTGCTGCGAATCTGTAACAAAAAATATAGTTTCGTTAGTTAAACCGTTAGGTTAAAAGTTAGATTAAGTTGAGTTCAATTCGCGGAAGCGCGCGCGCAGATACAAACGTTGACCCTTTGCCATTGCAATTCAACGGCTTTTATTCCAATCGCTCGGTTTTCGATCGCAATAAATCAAGAAGAAATGTACAAACGATCAGTGAACCTCACCTTCAAGCCGACTCTGCTTGGCCCGAACCGGATCCTCCGGTACGGCATCGACGTCCGTCGAAACTGCGTCCTGATAATCGCAAACTCCAGCAGATCTGTAACAAAAAGCGAGTTTCCTCATTAGTATTACAGCGACAAATCAAGAGTACGAAGACTCGAGACTACAAATTAGCTTCTTTAACTTAACCAAGTTAACCAATAAAAGTTTACCTTTAAAGACCATGAAACACTGCTATTGCTCAAGATGCTCCGGATCGTCACGCACACATACACACACACACACACGCACGCACGAATATTACACGTTACACGCGCGCGTATACCGTAATCGTGCGTGAAAATTCAGAAATTATTACGCGCGGCGATCCGCCGATCCGTCCGCTGCCGCGACGTAAACAATAATGAAGACGGTCGCGGCAGTTGCGTACTTGTGAACATGTTGTTTTCAAAGTCGCGCGACCTTGTCCCGCCAGGACGCGTCTTAGAGAGCCCGTAACGTTGTATAAAACTTACCATTTTAAACAAAAAGATACGCCAAGTACACACACGTGTACACAAACACACAACACGTATATTACTTGTATAACGAAAATAATAAATTACATTGCCCAAAGATATACGCTCAACTGCGATACGATGCACAGTACTAAAAACGTAATTCTTGCCGTTTATCTTGAATAAAGAATTAATTATATTATAATCATATATATATGGTTTTTCAGTTATATAGGTTTCTCAGTTGGCGTTATATCATTTCTTTTGTAAAGTAGAACAGTGTTGAGTAGTGTGTTATTTTTAGAAATTTCAAATTATTTTTTTTCAAATTATATATGTAACATAAAATTTTACAAGTAAAACTTATAACTATAATAAAATTCTACAACACTGTTCTACTTTACAAAAGAAATGATATAACGCCAACTGAAAAACCTAACATATATGTATATATGATTATAATATAATTAATTCTTTATTCAAGATAAACGGTAATATTTACGCTTTTAGTACTGTGCATCGTACCGCACCTGAGCGTGCAAACATCTTTGGGCAATATAATTTATTATTTTCGTTATACAAATAATAAGTTTGTACAAGTAAAACTTATACCTCTAACAATAAATCCTTCTATTGAATACTATAAATAAAACTCTACAAAACTGTTCTACAAAAAAATGATATAATAAAACAATAACATCAACTGAAAAACTCTATTCTACTCGCATCAACTCTGCAAATGAGAGCGCTTTGCAATCTGAAGATAAATGTATCGAAAACTCCTAATGATACACAGTCCGATACTTAAAAAACAGTGTCTTTATTATTTACTAGAACACTGAGTTTTATGGTTATTTTACTTGTTATTATAATAAATTAGTTGTTATAACAATGCAATAAAAAATATTTAATGCAAAAAATCTTGACTTCTCTCTCTCTCTTTCTCTCTCTCTCTCTCTTTCTCTTTCTCTTTCTCGCACATTTCTACTCCTGTATTTTAGCAATATTCTTCTCTCTTTTACTCTCTATCGCCTGCTCACTCGCACTCGCTGCTTCTTCAGCGCGCTCGTAAAGCCTCTGGTGTCGGAAAAGTAAGATGCACAATCTTGTCTCCTCTGCGGTCTAGCGTTTCTTACTTCCTTACTGAATCGAAATTTTCCATGATCCAGACTTTATCTTAAAATATCTACATTTAGAGACAACATACACAAAAAACACAAAGACACTTTTCTTCCTATCTTTTAAGGCCGAATCGATTGGGACTGAAAAACCTCGATCGGTTTAGCCATTGCTGAGATATAAATATCTCACCTCGTTTCAACTCGCAGTTTCGCGTAATATAGGCACGGTATGCGCCATTCGGGCGCAACTTCGTTGCGCTTGAACTTGGCGCAAGGCACTGCCGTGCCTCTTGATATTCAAATATACGGTTTTGAAATAGGGCAGTGCATGCAGAACAGCCCTTACTTGTTTCGCCGGAGATCAATGCGATTTGTATTTACTCATGCACTAAGCAATATTGGAGCAATCAAAAAGTTCGATTTGATTTTTAACAGATACATTCTCTGATAGAAATATGTAAATTTCCAAAATATGCGTAAAAATGTATGCTGAGTTGTTCTTGAAATTATTGCTACACACTTCATGGATATAATTTATGTGCGCTATTTTATAATATTTAAATCATAGACCATTTTGTGATATATTTGAATTATCAACGGTAAACGTTAGATTACTCGATTTCGCCGATTTCGGGAATATGAAAAAGATATGACAGAATTATTAAATACATATTTTTGTTTTAAATTCGATAAGAATGCTCCAATCCATCGCAAAGTACTAAATAGAGAAGTATAAGAAATTTATATATAAACTTACATTCTATCTTCTACTTCATTTAGCCCGTACTGGTTACTTCGATGTTGCATTCACCATCGGGGTCTCTTCGTCAGACCTGAAACAAAAAATAATGTTTCTGGTTAATGGTAAGGAAGGACAAACTCCAGAATATAGAATTAAGAACACTTGGGTTTAAATACATATTGAAAAGTAAATAATTAAATTATAATTATATTCTATAAAATATATCCCATTAATTTAATTATATCCTGTTAAATCAAGATGCTACCGTTGCTCACACACGTAAAGTATCATAATTTGTGCTCACAGCGCGTCTCGATTACAGCTTTGAGAAATTTCCCTTGCGAAAGCGTGTCGCAATTACGTTTGCGTCTTCCCGTAGGCCATGATTTTCAGCGCGCTGACTTGTACTTAAATAGGGGGAGAACGCACCGTTGTATGTTTTATTCACATTTTGATTGTACTGCAGATTATAATATTCATATCAGATGCCTTATGAATATTATATTGTAAATTAATACCGCACGCTATATTATAAATACGTTATAACGGTTCAACGCGTGTTCTAATAACGTTCAATCAATCTTTGCATCCGATCAGCTACTGATTATGAAGATTGAGAAGTCAAGCGTCACGATAGAATTTTCTCATTTTTCTTCATCCGTTGACGGTATAAGATTATCAGAGGAATTATCATGTATCAGCTTCAACGCACAAAATTCTTCACCGATGTTTCCAGATCAGTTGACTTATTGTCATGTGTTATTAAATGTTTAACGTCTTGCGGAACTTTTACGTGATTCCCGCACTAAAGTTAATCGTTGGAAGTAAAAAAGACTGATAAACGTCACGGTAATACGCGATAAGCCACAATGGCGGAAAATCTTCGTGTCCGCTTAGTCTCCAAGTTAGACGCCGCAAACTGTGATGTAAAATGTACAGACTATATAAAAATCGCGCGCGCACGTACCGATTACACGATTTCCTCGATACAATTCAAGATCGCTCGCAGACGAAACACCCAATTGAACGCGATCTTTCTCTCCTCGCAATTTCGTCCGCTCTTCGTCGCTCCGCATAACGGCATTCATCGAAATCTACAAATCAGCCTTCAGTCAAATATTTCACGGTAATATCGCCAAGAACGCGCGAGCAAACGCCTGTGACCATGTTACCAACGACAAGCGTCGTGGCACAAACTCGTGTTGACGCACGCGATCCCGAAGTTTCTATTATGATACTTCCATACAGGCCGTATACAAGCGCTCGTCGGGACGAGCAATTCTCGTGCCTACAAGTCGCTACGTCGATCAGTCGCCTTTACGACCGTGGGTTATACGGTTCATGGAAAAGAAACATTAGCGTTCTCTCTCTCCCTCTCCCTCTCCCTCTCTCTCTCTCTCTCTCTTTCGTCCTCAGAGGTTTCGCTCACGTCTCCATCCCCGCCCCCCCAGCCGGAACGAAATCTGACGATTTTCTGACTGCAGATCGTTGCGTCTTTATTGCTTCTGATTGCATAATGACGTAATGGAGGTAGCACAAAGTTGAAACGTCTTTTACGACGTTTTACGGCTAGGACGCGGCGAATCCTGGCCCGGCGCGAATCGATCGCCGATGCGCGATATTTGCACTTTCTAATGCGAGTTACGCAACCTCGGCATATTTTTGCTCGCAGCGCGGCGCGACACGGGCCAGCGGAGAAATTAATTTACTTGTATGCAAATGCCCCGGCGCTCTTCGCTCTGTTTTCGTTTAATTAGATTTTTCGCGCGAAGATCGCGCGGAACGGAGAGAGCCACCTCTACAGAAAAATTCTCAAATAAATTTCACCCTTTTAATGAACGGGTTTAATATCGATTCTCTTCGTGACACCGCTCACGGCCAGCCCGAGATATTAAACTGCGAACACACTCGAATATCCGATACGAATCTTGGGAGATTCGTCCTCCGAGAGGAGGATACTCCTCCACCTCCGCGATCGACGAGAGGATTGGCGGGGAAAAAGTCAAGCGCGCGAAAAGAGAGTGGCCGTTCCTCTCCGAAACCGAGAAATGGAATTGGACCGAAGGCTTACGGACGAACTATCGGTATCAACGCGACGATAGCGGAACAATGGGGCGGGACGAGAGAGGGCTTGAGTGATCATTCGACATCAGTTAGAAACGATTTCGTCGCGGCAGATTTCTCGCTCGTGGCGGCGTAGTTAGTCGCTGGGCAAGCCAGACAAATGTTCAGTCGCTTTTTAAGGGGGAGACGTGGAAATGCGACGTGCGAGTACCGGTAAGTAAGAATAAGTGAAGCCAACCAAGTCGCGCTGCCGCGCTGGCCGCGTTCCCTCGAATCCTTCCAAACAATACGACGAGAACGACGCCGCGTTCTCGCCGTTGGCGTATGTAAAATTTGCTGCCACCAAGAACAGCGCGCGTTACTAGGTCGTCTTCGGCGCTCTCGCCTAAGCGGCTGTCATTTTTTACCAGACGCTGAGGTAGACATGCGTAATGACGCCGCGAGGCTGCGAGTTTAGAGAGCCGCGCGCGACGCGCGCTCGCAAAGGACCAACTATGCGAGATGTAGAAACGTGGCTGCCAAGATCGCGCGACACGGCGAACGCGAAGGAGTAATTTTTAAACGTGATAAATGACGGTGGATACAGTTCGGGGCTAAAGGTTGAATGTTTCTATCAGCGCGTGTGCGACGCGCGTTGTATATGTGTGTGTGTGTATAACAACGTTCGCGCCCGCCGACGTTCCTTCCCGAGCGTTTGCTCCGGCTCGCGACGTTTCTTTCTATATTTCTCAAAGGCGACGAACGTTCTATGGAAATTTGTAGCTGCTACTCGAAATCAGGTGAAGCGGGCATCCGTGTAATTCGGCCGTATAGGGATTTTATTGGATTCCGTCCTACCTACTTTTATTGGCTCTCTATGAAACGATCACGACGTCCCCTTTGAGGACCAACATGCATACAGTCGCGCGTAAAAATACGTATAACATACGAGTACATAAATATATCGTGCTATCTGACTTGCTGCCGACCTTAAATGCCGAGAGACGGCGCGGGTCCGGTTTACTGAGCTGTTTAATTCGGCGAAAGGAACTTTGAGACGTCTACACCGGGAGCAAGTCGGCAAAGAGCGTAAGCCGTTCTCTCGCGTCTTTACATACGACATACGACATATGTGTTTAACGGGAAACGCAAATTGCGAAAAACTTCAAACCCCGTAAAAGCGACGCTTCTAAGCATGCGCGCGCGTGCACGCAAGATGTGACATTTACAGTAATTTGCACGTCAAATAATTATTAGATTATGCTAATTAACTGTGAGTGAGCGTATCTGCGCGCGTGCGGACGTTTAATTCGAAATTGAATTAAATTATTAATTAAGAAATTTGTTAATTACATCGCATCGGGAAATTTGAAACGTTTTACGCGCGCCTAATAGATAGATTGATATATACCGAGTGCTCGAGCCATGAACAATCCATTATTGTGCTCCCAGCACAGAGACTCTAACAGTTCGCGATGTATATCAGTAGTACGCGTGCTATTGCAGCGGCTAATTTCACGCTCGCTGGCCAAATTCTTTTCGGAAGAAAGGGGAGGCGTGTTCGACGACGATCGATCGCGCTAACGACGAACAAAATTGCGAAACCGTAAGCCAGCTTCTCGATAACACGTGGCGAAATGCGACGCTATTAAACTTTACCAGGATGTCCAGAACTCGCTGAAAGCCGTGGCTGTCTGAGGAGAACACGGAAACGGAAGTGGGCAAGAGGCTGTACACCGACGAACGTCGTTTGCGAGGAAATGATGTTATTAGCGGGATAAAACATTCCCTCCCAAAGTTTATTTGTATGAAGTTATAATTGCAGTCACAGACGCGCGCGCGCAGTGTGTCGGCGTTTCAGTAACGAGTACGGCCGAGAGATTCCTAGTGGAGTAATCGGAAGATCAAGCCGGAGGATCTGCCGCGTGATTTTCGTCGGGGAAACTGGACTGATCTTTTTCCGCGGGCATAACATTCGTCATACTCGTCGCGCGCGACATCTTTTGTTAACGCGTATTGCACTGCACCGTGTATCCGCGTGCAGAGATGCAGTCTTTCGTGTTTATCAGACGCGGGACAACGCTCGCTTCGAGGAAGAAATTAATTGGAACGTCAGCGCGACGAGCCGGTGTTGCAAAATCGCAGCCGGTTAATAAATGTCATGTCCGCGCTTCTGTCTGCTCGCTTTCACGAATGTCACGGCCCAACAACGTGATTGAAAACGGAAAAATAAATAAAGATAAACAAGAAGAGACGGAAAAGGCGAAAGGGTACGAAAAGAAAACGACAAAAGTCCCATATTCTCGATGTAACCACTTTCGAAACGAGGAATGCGTTTCCGGTCGCGAATCGAACTGGCTGCCGATAAAGGGGGAAAAAAACGGCCCGGCCTGCGGTCGATGGGCAAGATACAAGGCAATATCGATTGAATATTAGGATCTGCGGGGCATGCGGAACCGGCGCGCACACATTAGCCTCTTTGACTTGCTAAATAGGTTAATTTGAATGTTTAAATTCCGGCTCCGTGCAACTCAATTTGCGAGAGGACTCCGCGTCTGGTTAATTCCTTTCCTTCGTCCCGCGAGCCACTCCTCTGCTACCACCTGCCCCTCTCCCCAACATCAGCCACCGCCGAAGCCACCACCTCCAGCTGGACTGTTAACTTCCCGCATATTTCTGGCGTCCAACATACGGAACGTCCAGCACACGCTCTCTTGCCGTCCCATCCTATCTATTCTCTCCCCTCCCCTCCCGCCCTTTCCTAACTCTCTTTCTCTCTGTCTCACACTCCATCTCTTAACCTTTCATACCGCGTGATTCTCCATGTCGTTTAATTGGAGAGTATTATTTGCGCTCCACTACGTCTGATCTTTTACGCATCGTGACTTCTCGATTGCCGGCCTCACCAGACGCGACAAAAAGGAGGTCGGAGTGCAAATGTAGATTCGGATCGCGTTCGTCGCTTAACATAATTCGCGGCAAGCGCAATAGCGGAACTGAGGGCAAATGGAGCGGAAATTGCGATGAAAATAATGAAATTGCAGATATGTTACCAAACTTATAACTATCATGTACATGTTTAAATCGCAATTATATCGCGTAAAAATATTCACTTTATATCGTTAATTATTGCTTATTATTGATCATGTCGTCTGTAAAAATATTTTGACAACAATTGATCAACAGCTTATTTAACGATAATACTTTAACTAACTTGTTTACTTACAATTCTAAGGAGAAGCTATTGCATAATTAAAAGTAGAACATATTTGATAACATTTTAAATAATTGAGCAAATAATTGCATCTAGTATAGATAACAAAGATGTAAAGATAGTTGCAATAAAGTATTTTTTTATATTCTTAATAAATAGTAGAATAATTAGATATTGGTACATAAAACTTCTCATCCTATTAAAAGTTCTTATACTTAAAAAATACAAACTTAAATAAATTAAAAAAGTTTGCATAACAGTAACGTATCCTCCTCTCTTTTCTCTTTGAAACAGTTATATTAAATTGGTTGAGGTATATATTATTTATAAGTTTCGAGTTGGATCAAATGCAGGGGACGTAACAACATTTTATTAGAAGAATATAAAGATTATATAACTTTTGATGTCACATACATAAAGAGAGAGAGAGAGAGAGAGAGAGAGAGAGAGAGAGAGAGAGAGAGAAAGAGAGAGAGAGAGTGTAGAAATTTTATATGATTCCTTTAAATCTTGAATACTCTTTTTTCAAATGTTCATTACTGCATAATTATGGCCTCGTTTTAAAAACTAACATATCTCGATTTAGAGGTTAAGAGGTTAAGAGATGCTATGCATAATTTAATATAATTAATAATTCCATGTTCACTATATATTCCTTACCATTTGTATATAATTAATCCCTTGTCTTATGATTTAATTTGTGATAGCACGTATCATAGTCAAGCTAAAAGTCGCTGGCGCGATGGGACAAAAACGCATCTAGCCATGTACTCGATTTCCCTTTGTCGATCGCATAGAAGCCAATAATATGATAATGAGAAACTTTCATATATTGTCCGTAACAGAGACTAAAAAATGTACGCTGCAAGAACGATACAAGTGAATCCGTAACAGATGATTCACGAGTCCGACTCGTGTTTGTCAGGTTTGGCTTCTAATTCGTAGCACATATGAGTTTCTTATGTTTGGCTCAAAATCTGTAGCACGAGTCTCACTCGGTATTATAAGACAAGAGGTTAAGAATTTAAGCAAAATATTTATTACTACTTTCAATTTCTTTCAGAACACAGCAACACAATTACTCAAGTGTATTCCTATAAGAATATATTATTTTTATAACTAAATTTATCCGGGATAGCGCGCAAATCCTGACTAACATAAATTATGCATCCAATATCCACATGAAGAATATTTGCAAGGATCATCAGATCATCCGGGGTGCAATGAAAGAGTTACACCTTGGAGATACCACCTTGATCACGGTAGAGTCTCGACGTCATGTAAGCGATGATATATTTCTCCTCCTCGCGCCTTTCAAGATCTTGAACCGGATTTTAACTACGAGTAAATACAATGTTTATGCGCAGTGTAGCGTCTATTTTGGGAATTACCGTGCGGCTTCGAAAACTATTTACATACGAAATGTCAGATTCAAAAACATCCGCTTGCTTTATCGGATGATAAAATCGTGAAAATATATATTTCATTATATGTTAGCGAATTTACATACGCAATAATTTATTGTTACTTAAAATAGTCTCGTTGATGTATACATCAGGCCTTTCAACTATGACATCTACACACTGCATCATGTTCGCACCGCCCTAAAAGATATAAAATATTCAATCAAAATGATTTTATTTTTATTTTATAATAGTTTACTTACAATCTTGAGAAGAATCTATTCAGCATTCCCCGTCTTTCAATTTGTAATAATCTATATAAAATTGGAGACTATTAATCATTATTTCTCGTAAATGCTCCGTATGTTGTGTAATTTGAAAATGCAAATTGTTTAACAATCGGAAAATTTTCATTATAGACATATTGTTTTATGAATATATATTAACATACGTCTACTAGAATAATGTCCTTAAAACATGTCACACATATAAAAGACATATTATTATTATTCAAATTAATATCTTATTTTTAAATTACTTACTCGGTCTAAACGCAACCAGGACATTGCTCGTATCATTCTCCCCAACTTTTACTATTCGATATCTCGTGCAATGATTGTAACATAACATGTGACAGACGCTTGAAAACGTGCGCTCGTTAAAATCGCGATTCGTGGCGCAAATTGTCCGATTACCATCATCGTCGCTATCTTCCTCATACATGGCTCGCCATACGGGAGTAGTCGTCTCCTCTCCTAAACCTATCACTTTTTCCTCGTCACAGTACTCGCAATTACACGCGACTGCTTTATACTCGATGCTTATCGTGAAGCACAGTCCAAAAATAGATACTGCATATGGAATAGTAAAGTTATTTACGCTATCGAAGTACATTCACGTTATCTTTCATAAGATCTCCATATTCTCAATTAGAAAAATAAAACTTTGGATTTTTTATCCGAAACAAAATAGATTAGTAAACTATATTAAAGTTACATACATAAATTTTCAGATGTCAAATCTTCTGATTTAATTAAAGACATGAAAATAAAATGTCCTTGGAAACAGATTTCTAGATTTTACATACGTAATATAATTATGATGTCCCGTGATTGCATGTTTAAAGTTTAAACAGTCAAGAAAACGCAATAATGTCTGGTGTAGATAGACTGTATCAAGTTGCCAAGTACAATTAAAACTGATGCTTCGCTAAATACCGAACGATGATATTCGTTTGATACGCAGTGCTGTGCTGTGCTGAAAGATCTCGCATATCTTATGAAGTCGTGTTAATGTCAATGTTAAAGTCGTAAAACTTCTTTTTATAAAACAGATGAGGTAAAATCATATTTATCCTTATTATATAAATGCAATGTATAATTGCATAGCAAGTTACGTCATAATGACATAATTAATAGTTTGTTAAGCACAAAGGTATCTCTTGATGAATGCAGGCGGTTGTAGCTTTAACGATTAACTGGGGAACCATAAGTGACGGGCACGTAACTGCCGGTATATCAGGAACATCAGCACACTGACCTCTGATCTCTTCAGAAAGTAATTTAATACGCATATACATCAGCAACATCATAGTAACGTGATGTCATGAAAATATCTATTATTATCGTCTGCTTCCACGGTATTTCAGCACGGCATTAACATTACGTACTTAACTATGTAATTAATTGAGAAAAGAATAATTGCATTACACGTCCTGTGTGATCTCACGATTATTTTTTCTGCTGAATCTGACACTTTAATGTTTTAGAGCGCCGAAAAAACGTAGCACGGAAAATGTTCAAAATTTTACGTCTAACAAGCAAATTTTGAACCTAAACGTATTCTACTTTACGCGCATAAACATTTATCGTTTACAGTTCAGTAGATTTCGTAATATAACATATATCTCGTTTCTATAAAAGTATGCTTTTAAATTAAAAAAGTTACGTTAAATACACATTATATAAACATCGATTGCTTAAAGCGGACTTGCGTAATGAAACGTTTCGTTGTTATTCGCCTGAGTTTTCCGCAAATTTCTTCAAACGTGAAACTTCTTTTTTCTTTTTCTTTTTTTTTTTAATATAAACGGTCTCTTTGAAAAGTGCCGGCTGTCGGCGCTACTTTCACAGCACTCACGTTATCGCTTTTATGCTAATTACTAGCGAGAGGAAGGTAATGCACAGGGTGATACTCACGCGAGTCGAATGAAACAGTGGTTCCAAGCTCTTTTCTTCTAACGTTCGGAAAAGAAAGAATAATAAATATTGAAGTTGCTGGTGTATCTATGTGTGCATGTGTGTACGTACATTTATTACCGCGCGATAATGATTAAATTGTTCTGCGATATTCGATTATCAAAAATTCACCAATACACCACTTTTCACTATCACAATTAACTTTCACAATTCACCCATCACATTTAACTTTAATGGAATCGATTAACCTTATTTTTAATTAATTGAAACTTCCAGAACAGACATATCTGTTCTAACTGAAAGCACTGTGAAAAAAACTAGGAGCGTGTGCAGTTCCAGATATCTACTATGTATAATCTTTTAAGTACAAGAGTATACCGCTGGATACCCCTTACTGACACCTTAAATCTCGGAAGTTTATTGCCGCGACAATAAGCGCCCAGGCCGGCAGCTAACAATTATATAATATCCTGACTTATGAACTAATTTGCATTTTAATCCAACCAGCTCCATTGTTGCTCGCTATTGTCAGTCGAATACTCACATCGCGTGCTCGAAACGACGAAGTTCGAGAGGTCAAAAGAGAACGAGGTCACCGTCAATTTGAAATATGAGGGATATTCCAATTTGCCGATGACGTGATTCATCTTTTTTTTCACTTCAACTTTGCTCAGTCTCTCATTTTCTCTTGCGGAGTACTGGGGCTCTCTATTAAAGACGTGCCCTGGCCAGATCTATCTGCGAAACCGACTGTCGACGTGAGTACGGCTTAATCCACTTGCTAATTGATAATCATTTGCGTCGATACTTTAATTCACCGCGCGAATGCACGACAATTGATACCTGCTATTATAAAAATAGTCAACCAACCCATCAATTAACAGCTGTCATCGTTTATTTCTTCATCAGGATGAGAAGATTTATTTTGTATGACATTTAATCCATTTTTCTGCTATAACTCTCTCTAATTAATGGAGTAACCTTTTTTCTAGTGTAAAAAAAAAACAAGCAGGAAAGGGAAAAATGGTTTTGTGCCAATCGTTGTTGCAGTGTCACGATGTACACGCAAATGTTTGCGGCCGTCAGTTTGCAGGTCGTTTTATAAGCATCGAAAACGATATTCGAGAATTCGATGGAGCGCAGAAGTGGCGGACAACATAGGAATGGCGCAAGGGACTGGTTAAGGGAAGGGGACCGCGGAAAATTGTCAATCAGTGCGATCCATCTGGACTTGATTACTGCTCTGCCGTCGCGCTCATAGCTGGTCCCGAGCCTCAAAATCGTCTGATCGAATTTTTATGCCGTATTTGTGCGGCAGCTAGTTATACTCATAACAGTTATAAATATTTGCCCTTTTATCTTTCAGCGAGTACTTTCATTGCTTTATTTACGCGCTGCTCCTTTAATCGCATTATCGCCTATAATAGCCTGTACGCCTATAATAGCCTTACAGTAAAAAAAAACGAAGTATCAATTTAAATATTCGAGATATTTAAAGTTTGCTGCGAATTCGAGACGTCTCGCGGCTGATAATACTACAAGAGACAAGAAAGCGATAATTTGAATAACGTCAATTTGAATGACTCGGAAATCAATCGTCAGAATCACAGAAATCAACGATATCCATCGATTCTCCTCATCGTTTTTAGCATTATTACTGTTCTTCGATTGAACTAATTTAATTTATCAAATGTAATGCGAAATAAAGTTTCACCCCCTATTGTGAAGCGGCATGAGCGCGCGAAATAGTGCATGCGTACACATCGTCGGCGAGCATATTTACCACTACACGTGTCAAAAGTGATGCTCTAGCTGTTATTTTTGTCATCCAATCCGCACTGCCAGCTAGATTTTCCCTTCATTTTGTTGCATTCACGTTTTCATCTACCTCGTGCTTGTCCAGCACAGCCCAAAGCAGTTGAACCGAGTCAGAGTTCAATCAAAACCAATATGTCGCGCTCTCATGCGAATACACACCACGATTTCTGCGAAAAGCCCCGTTTGTGCGCGTTTAAACGTGCATAAAGTATTTGAAATTTCCCTGTAAAACGCGTCATTTTGAACGCGGGATGATATCGAAGTCTTTCGCATGACTTATATATTTTTACACCGATGAGAAAGAATAAATAGCGAGAGAGAGAGAGAGAGAGAGAGAGAGAGAGAGAGAGAGAGAGAGAGAGAGAGAGAGTAAGACAGAGAAGGTAATGGCGAAGAGCAAGCTCGATTTAGTAAAATATTCTATTCTAACCATTTAAAAAATCTAGATTTTATTTTCACGATGAACGGCTGGAAATATCCTGGCGGGTACATACTGCTGAGCGATAAAGTGAAAGTAAAGTGTTAAATGATAAAACGTGACATTTCGCGGGTGCGTCGGCGTGACGGTATTAGTTTTGCACCAGTTTCCTCGGCTTCGCTGCGCGCGACATTTCCGACACGACGGCGAAATTATATAGTTAAACTGCATTATGGGCGCAACGTATGGCCAGTCATACATCACACTTCGATGAAGATAAGGGCCATAACTTTTCGCAGTGTTACACACTGAAGTGCGCATTCGAGCACGCCCGAATAAATTTCCGCTGAATTGCGGATTAGAAATCGATTGTGTAGTAAATTTTATTTCTGGCAAAATACGAGAGTCCCGGCGCGGGCGGCGAGACGAACCGGAAAAAACAAAAATGCACGACCGGCAGTCTAACGCGCCGTTCGTTATCGTCAGAGAGAAGAGGGAAAAACCGGAGAGTTATTATTAATCGCGACTTTTCAAAGTAGATTGTAAGCGTTCTCGCGTAATCGATTAGATCGACATGTATATTCGAGATGTGCGGAAACGTGACCGCATATGCCTCCGCTTTTCCGAGCTCTCTATCCTAACTTTCCCACGAGGGAGAGAGAGAGAGAGAGAGAGAGAGAGAGAGAGAGAGAGAGAGAGAGAGAGAGAGAGAGAGAGAGGAAGAGTTAGATACTAATAATAGCGATCATTTGATACAATACATGCTCATGGATATTAATCATCAAACGATGTTGCATATGCACCTGTGTGTGTGAGAAACAACGCGTATCATCTGCGTGCACTTAGCGGTTATGTTAAGGTAAGAGTTCACATGACATAGCGGGTACGTGAATGAAAACCGATTGTGTGTACACACGTGGGCGCCGTATATCTACCCTTCATTCACACAAATTGGCGCGACGCGTGGTCTAAATGCGTGTATGTATATTCCGCGTATGTCATTATACGCAGAAGAGGAAAGTGTATCGTGAGATTTGCAGATATTAAATATGAACAGATAAATTTGTCAACGGACTGATATTGATCATCGAATTAACTTTTCTTATCGACGTCCATGTACGAGTCCGTCTTCGGTTCGTTATATTTCATATTCGAGCATTTAACTCGTGTTGAATGTAATTTCAACTCACCATCCGAAATGAGATAATGATTGTGAATAATAACACAGAACGTGTGCTCCCGCCTCTGAGCCGAAGCTCCAATAGACCTCAATTATATTCTCATTCAGCTTTCGCACGTGGACTCTTATAACGATTACAACGAGAGGCATGCCCATCGAAGCTCGGAGTTAAATTAAGCAAAGACCGAATGGGGCATTCTCCAGTGGGAGCCTCACAAAAACGAGAGTAAAGTAATAATAGCACAAAAGGTCGTCCGTTGGTAGCCGCTGGCGCGACCGTTCGTCAAAGAATTCACAGCCGTAGGTTGCCTACGCGACAATAATAGCATCTGCCCGGGCCGGCCATAAGTCACACACGTATGATGCAAGGTCGTGGCACGCGTTCCTGATTATGGCGACAATGTAAAAATTCATACGAGCGAAATAATCGAGCGTGCGGCGCGACGGGACACCCTCGGAACTTCATTCACGAGTCGCCTTCGCGTATTACGCCAGGGTAACGAGGGA